CTCACACTCTTAATTGTGGACATTCTTGAAAATACTCCTATGAAGAAAATCAGGTCAACTCTATTAGGCATTGACAATTATAATAATAATTAAAAAAAAGGCAAGAAATCAAAGCAAATTATTTACTCACCATGTCAATACGACTTTTATCGTTCTTTTAAATAAAAAATTGCTACTTATACCAAGGCAAAATAAGACGATTAGTTAACAAATCATCAAAAGTAAATTATCGAGTACAATTTTAATAAAGAACATCAAATGTTACTATATAAAAATTTTCAAATTTATAGATTATTATTATGAAATTAGCTTCACTATTCCATCATATTAAAATCTTTCGACATAGAGATGGCAAAAGAACTAGCTAAATCCGATGCTCGTGGAGCCCGGCTCCAACCAGGAATGGGATTTCCCGCCTAAATTGGGGCAGGGACTTGTCCCTCCTTGCCTTCACCCCGTCCCGCCTCAAGTAGCGAGACAAGATGTAGAAACACATAACGAGAGACGATAACGATTGTGCCGATCCCGATTAGTTAAATCAATGACCGAAGTCGTACAGTCACCGTTTCGGACCGGCCCAATGCGTAAGTTTCCATTCCAAGACGATAGCCATCCTATTCGTTTAAAAGCCGCTCAATCTATTCATCATACTTCTTTTAGTAAATCTACGGGTACAGATGCAAAGAATGCTGACTTAACTTGTGTAAGCAGGGTTCAGAGTTGTGAGAACAGTTCAGTGTTTCCTTCACCATCATTAGCTATAAATTGGCTCAGGGACAACATCCCAAAAAATCAATCTGTTCGCTATCTATCGCAAATGTTATCCAGAATGCAAAGATGACAAGTTATATCTTTTTTGAAACTAGCATCCATATCATTTTACAAAACATAGTCGAATTTCGAGGAATAAAGAAAAATTTATGCTTATTCCCATGATCAGAATTGATTGCCCTTCTGAGTGCACAAACATTTGTTTTTATCTAGTGTTGTCGTCTCAGCTAATGAAACTAAGATCTTGTTGAACCGTGTGATGAAAGCCAAAAATTAAGTGGGTTTTTCTCTACAACTGACAATGGACTATGTCGGAATGGGTTCTCCTTGAGACACTGGAGTCGAATCGTTTGACAACTTCTAAATGAAAATTTAGGTATATCAAGAATCTGCATTGCTTGCATTTGGCTAATTTTATCATTTTGGTTATGGAATGACGCGAACGATATTTGTGTCCTTGCAGAAGATTGATTAACATGCACAGTAAGTGAACAGAAAGACTCAACTGTGGAAAAATCACTCACACAATCAGCCAAAAATAAAAAATGGTTCCAAAAAAGACCAACTGATCTCCTCCCATTCAAAGCTTCTCTGCTCAACCTGTGTACTTCCACCCTTGACCATATCAGGCTCATACGAACTTGCAAAACTTGTCCTATTCACTATTACGAAATTCATTTTCAACCAACAAAACTGGGGCTCGAAAATCGGCATAATTTTACAATGAGGATCGAGCGACGACAAAAATATCATGAAATCACAACATATTGTGTAAAATCTTTACTAAGTAATAATTGTCTCCTTTCGTAATAAATATATCCTCCAACAATGGACATGTCTGTCCACACCAGCCATGTCTTAATAAGGGTAAACCAACACTACGTCAGTGATCGTTAAAGATTTAATGTTCCGAAACAAATCGACAAATATTACCTTAACTTCATCGACGAAAACAAAGCTCAACTTGTAATTTTTATTTAATAATCATAAGTTATCAAATAGCAACCAGATTTTTAAACAAAATCTATCAATATGGATCAAAATGTAGCAAATTGAGAAAAAAGTGCTCTTCTGAATCTAGAATACAAAACTTCACTTCCAGAAACAAATAAGCCCTTGCTGAACTTTCAACTACTAATCTTGCACAAGCTCTCGTTCAATCCAATTCTTCAATTATGAATCTCATGATAATCACAGTAATGTAGCAATAGAGTAACAAATTATGTACACATAGCAAATAAGTCAACTCCCGTTCAACTATACTGTAGAACAATGTAACAAATCAAATGTGATAAGTCCAAACGCCATTGCAATAGAGTAACAAATTATGTACCCATAGCAAATAACTCAATCGCTTTGCCAAAAAAAAAAAAANAAAAAAAAAAAAACCACTAGTAGTTTGCAGACAAAAAGATCAACGGCATAAATCAGATAATCTGTACGTAATAATGCCAAAATATGGTTCAGTTTGTTCAAAGACAGAACGGTATGTATACATCCAAAGCAGAGCCCTCCCACAAATCTTTCTTGGTAAATGAAACCTCAAACAAATCACATGGCACAAAATAAATAAATAAATAATTTAACTTCCATCAAATTACTGGTTACCCAGTAAATGCGCGTAGAATTCCATTCTTTTCTAAAACAACCAGCAAATGACTTGTAACTAAAACATAATATAGCATTTAAAACATAAAGGATGAAACCTTTGAGATGGGGACAGCGGCTACATTTACAGTAATTGACGCAGCTGCTGCGTTTCCTTTCTAAGCAATTGAATTTCCTTCATAATCTCAGCCTGGTTTTCCAAGATCAATCCCATGAAACTCGACATCTCCATCTGCACGTTAGTTTCACATATTAGGGAAAAAACATAAAACAAACTAAACAAGAAAAATATCAGATATACACCTCCTGCATGTGGAATTGTCTTAAAATTTCTATGTGAAGATTTCGAATGTCTTCATGATTGGATTTCTGAAATGAAGCAAGAGTCTCTTCAAGTTTGTGCTGAAACAGCTGAAGTGTAAATGAAGTTCCCTGCTGCAAATCGGGCTGCAATGAAGTTTCCTGAAGTTGTGGGATTTCACCCTGCCACAAGATTACAGGGGATTTAATGTGAATTCAAAGCACTCAAGCCCTTACAATGATTCGTGATAAAAAATATCTTCACCAATGACAGTGAAAACATTAATGATGGATCATCAAAGATAATTTCTTTAGCTAAAATAGTAGCAGGAAGAATACAATGTTGGATGGGTTAAAATCCCTCAACTTGTAGCATTTATTCAGGTTGGTCATTGGACTTAAACCTTGCCATATTTGGTGTGAACTTCAAAGATTGTTACAATTTGATCATTCTGTCCAAGTCCGTCAGCTTGACTAACGAAAAAGGCAGATGTGGCAATCTAGTTGGCAAATAACTAGACTGCCATGACAAATTTTCCATTCAAGTCAAGTTAAAAAATATAGACAGAATCACCAAATATAGCGAAGTTTAAGTTCAGGGATGAACTTAAAAATAAAACTAAATTTAGTTATAAATATGAAATTTCACTAATAGTGACCACCAGTATATTTAACACAAGATTGGATTGTTTCATACATTTATAGTTGGAACGACCGCAGCTTCAGTGGCAGATGACATGCCAGACCGCAATAACAGGCTGTTAAGAAGTTCTTCCCTTGTTTCTGCTCCAGTTTTCTTAGTTTTTGGTGAACCTACTGCTGCATCGCTGAAGGATGGTGTAGCACCTATTCTCTCGGCATAACTGGAGAATCTTCTATGAAGAGAGAAGGCAGGACTGAGAGAATCAGCATTACCCTTACCCGTAAGGTTTTGGGCAAGATGTTCTGAAGTTCCTAATAGAGTTTCTTGATGGGAGGTTTCCCTGACACGCAAATTGGCCAGGCCCAGGCTTGATGTTAGACTGCTTGTGCTCGTGCTCTGACTTGTTGGGAGACTAACATCTTGTAACCCAGACAGCATGGATCCTGATGATAAACTGCTGGACGTCAACATTGAAAAACGAGAAGGTGCGTTGACTGACTGACGAAGGTGAATTAATTTGTCTGAAAATCTCTCGCCACCCCAAGATTCTGGTGGAGTTATGGAGGAGTCATCACCATATGTGGGGGCAGTGGTGGATGTCAATTGTGACAAGGTAGAATGCATGTCATCCTGCATAAGCCAACTATCAAAATATGCGGAGAGAAGTTCTAGAAAGCCGACAAGTGAAATGTCACCGTCAAAATGTGAATTAGTTTATTTCACGACTACATATTACAAAGGACCCAGACGCACCTTTAGTATCTCAAATTATGATATTATTTAAGAGTAATATATGTGTCAAAACATAAATATTTGAACAGTTCATGTGAAAATCCAGCAATACGGAAGAAAGGTGGATTTCAATAAGTCTTGTTTATTTAATCATCAATCTAATTGCTGACAGGCAGTGAAGTAACTTTAACACAAATATCATACATCGGATATGGATTTGTTAAGTTACGTTGTTCAGCATTGTGGGGGAAAATTAATTCTGAATTAATGTATTGTAACTGCGAGACATGAAGAATACCATCTTTTGTCCCATGCAATTTCTGCCTCATAGAGGCACGCCAATAACTGGTCCAAAAATATGCAAAATATAACTAAAGGTGGCATTTAGCATATACTGTTTGCCACTTGAAAATATGTTACTAGACCTACAAAAGTGAACTTAAGGTTTTGGGCAAAACTTTCAAAGCAAATTTACTTTCCAAATTTCGCTGGACAATATGGCAAACTTTGACGCATCATGAAGTTTCCAAGTGTTCCATGAAATATATATTATTATTGCTAAACTTTCCAACCCAGGACAATCAAGGTTTCTATGCTATCACTAAACATATTAAGTTTGTATACAACTAAACAACTCATTTTCTTTAGCCAAAAGGTATTGCAGTAAAGTGATGCTAGACAAAGTGTGAGACATGATACTAGCATGTTGCATTAAAAAGTTAAGACTTCCAAAAACAAGCTCTTCTATTGAGGGAGTATTAGTAATGCCTTGTCATAAAATGAGAGAAAGGTTAATCATTAAAAAAAAAAAAAATGTAAACTTTAGACATAATATTTGGTTGAATGATTCCAGACTAAAGAAGAGCCCCAAAAGAAACATTTTTAGATTAGTCCCCAGAAAAATACAACGGCAAAGATACGAAGGAATGGAATCGGTGTATATAATCTCGTATGCACCAGCGTTTTTACCTATATTATAAATAACATAAACCAAGGACAATCATCCAGTTAATTCCTCCAAAATAATTAGTAATAAAAAAAAGTGTCACTTGGTGGATTCAATACCGTAACTGAATTTTAACATCATGTATGCATGTATGCATAGCAATGCTTAAAATTATGCTCCAAGAGAGTCTTTAAAGTAACATTTTAATTTAGAGAGTGGGTTTAAAACTCCAAATTTAGAGAATCAAACCCACTTTTTATAATTAAATGCACTCAAGTCTCAAAGTGTTTCAATTTTCCATGGAGGAAAATAATATAATAATTTGGAGGGAAGCTAGTGAAAATAAAAGATAGAAAAAAATAATAAATATTTTTTGGGAGTGATAAAATTATGTTTTAAATATAAAGAGTCAGCTGGAGTACATTAAAAATTTTACTCTCTAAATTGTAGAATACACTTTAAAAATGGAGTCTCTTGGAGATGCTCCCATACGTGGATGAACCCAGCATCTCCACATTTCTTACTAAATCTAGATCAAGCAACCAACATATAACTAATTCCTCACTAATAAATAGATAAAAATAGATAAAAAAGAAAAGGAAAAACACTGATGCAGGCAAAAAAAACACCTGTTTGGAAGTTGAATTGGATTTCCAGTCAAAAATTGGATGGCTATCATTGGCCTCCTCCTCTGAAAGAGCAAACCTCCTAGAAGAAGGATACAGAAAAGATGGTTTCTTATCTAGGTCTTTCTTTGGACCCTCACGATCACCCCACAATTTATCAAGGGAGGGTGTAATTGGTTGAACTTCCACAAGTGGAGAAAACACCTCCATATCATCCTTGAAGTTATAACTGCGAGGTGCATGTAATCTAGCCAGAGTTCCACCTGTCAAGAAGCTGCTTCTAACAGATGTTTCTTCTGCAGTAGACAAGCTGAGAGAACTTAATTGGTGAAAAAAATACATGCTGGAAAAGAAAATAAATCTGCAGAAGAACCTGAATTGCTAGGATTTCGAGATCCGAACACTGATGTGGACATAGAAAGGCTTGAGGATGTCATAGAAGGAAGTGGATCAGGCATCAAAAATGAGTCTCCTACATCACCTGCCAGGAGCGCAGTTTCATCTGTGCAGCTGCTTTCATTTACAATTACAGGTTTTGATCTCTGCCAGCAAAGACTTGAGACAGCCTGGGTAAGATCGCATCATATTACGTAAGTATGATGAAGTTGATCAAAAGTCTTGTGGGGCAGTTATATTTACAATAACGATCAAACATATGATTTCAACTTTTGAAACTGACCTAACAGACAGAACATGAGTAGCTGCAGACATTGTAAAGCATTATGCCATTAACTTTTCGCTATACCTAATAGAATAAGCATTCAGGATTGGTGACACAGATAACTAACAGGTTTTATTGTGACACTTAGGACCTATTTGGGATAACTTATACTTTTTGTAGAACAACTTCCTGAGAAAGCTGCCTTGGGTCATCTTCTTCTAAAAGCTCTTTTGGTTAGACAACACAATTTTAGAAAATTATCCAAACACGCCCAAAAGCAGCTCCTAGCTTTTCAAACCCATGCCAACAAGCCCTTAGCCACCGATCACACCCCAAGAAACAACTATAGAATCATATGGTAGGCAGTAAATTGCGAAGGGGACATTTTTCACTTGAGCGATGGAAGAGCAAAGATGTGTCTTGAATGACGGCTAATACCTTCTTGGTTCATGAAACTGGATTGGAAAAAATTGGCCCTAGGACCAGATAAATAATAAGAATCAGATTATCTAATAATCATGAACTAGGCGAACTGACTTTAATACACTATTCCAACATCTGAACTACCGATAAGGACACATTTTAGGTAGTAGAAAACCAAACAGTCAGACTTTCGACAACTGTGGAGGCATGAAAATGTACACCAACAACACTATAATCACAAATTGCTTTTGTAACCACTTGCAAAACATGCCACTACATATTAGACAAAAATTTCCCAAGCTGGAAGTTCAACTAGAAATAATGAGACAGGTAATCACCTCAGAATTCCCGTAAGCACGAAGAACAGTGATTGGTTGTGGCTTCCCACGAACATCATAGAATACAATCTGACCAGTTGTCGTACCGGCTGCCAGGGTTAGTCCATCATCTGTGAATGCCAGGGAAGAAAACGGTGCCTCATAAGGAATGCAAGAAGTCGGCTTCTTAGATCCTGAGTCAAAAGTGTATAACTTCATATCCAGACCAACACTAGCAATAATCTGTCAGATCACAAGAGTAAAATGAGAACAAGCAATTGCTAGTTGGCACGTGACTTCAGAAAAGAGCTCCGCTCTACCAATATTAATGTCCCTGCAGAGAATAAAAAATTCAAGCTCGTATGATGAGGAGACCTTGTCGTTTAATGGTGAAAAACTAATGCCGGAAGTTGGTGCAGAATGCTGCTTCAACCAAGAGACCTATGAAATTCAAGAAAAAGAACTTGAAACCCAAGAACAACAGACACTCATGATTCAATAACGAGCAATCACAACAATCTAGAATGTACAGTTAATGATGTCTGTACTTTAATATGAAATTAACAGTATTTAATTAACAGATAACGATCAGTTGATCCTGAACATGAATACTAGAATCTACAGTTAATGATGTGTGTACTTGAATATGAAATTAACAGGATTTAATTAACAGATAACGATCCGTTGATTCTGAACATGAATACTAGAAATCTTGACCTCGTTTATTAAAAAAAGATGGAAACTTCTTGATATTAAGTTTGGGATGGCCTTGACAAAAGGGTTTTCTTAAAGTAAATAGGTTTGTATCATCAGGCAGTGCCTTAAAAACGTCCAAAATATCCCATTATTTTGTGGAGAACAGAGGACGAAAGAAAAAAATTAATACAAAACTGTAGATTTTGCTACAAATGGATAACCAAATTAACACCTGACTTCAGGATGTTAACATAATAGACCAGTAGAAAAGCCCTACTTCCCATATTTGCAATAATAGATTAGCCACACAAGAATGATGTAACAAAGTAAATCATTATACATAACAATAATACATTACAATTTACACTATGAACCTTTGGGCTGCGACCAGTTGTATCCCACGAGTGGATGGATCCATCATCCCCAGCAGTAACCAAAAGGTGCCTGCTCATTCGAGAATAATCGAGCACCCCCAAAACCTGGTCTTGAAATTATCAAACAAAGATATAGCATATCAAAAAGCAAAGCATATGACAAATAATCAAAATTAAATGTGTTATATGAAGCTTTGCAGCCACACTGGAGCTTGGAAACAGCATATACAACCTGTCCATTAGGATCCTTCAGTTCAGCAGCCCTTGTACCAGAAGCAAGATTGTGAAGTATAAGATCCCCTTTACGACTAATGGAAGCTATGTGCTCATCTTTGCAGTTGTACAATGCACCTGCTATTGTATCAGTGTGACCTCTCAACCATTTGACACATCGCTTCTTCTGCAAATCCCATATTCTTACAATTTTACCAGTTCCGCCAGAACAAAGATATCGGGATCCTTTGTTGCTAAAGCTGATTGTTGATATAGTCTCCTGTGGCTTATATGTGGGGATAAAAGATCAAAAGGATTTTTTCAAGAAAAACAGTTAGTTGAAATGTGGAAAACCAAATTTTGGGTCAAATGCATCAATCAAACAACTTGAGTGAATGGGCACAGGGACACAATTAATCAGTCAAGACTTCAAATTGCAGTGTAATATCTTCTACTATTAGTCTACTCTACTGTGCTTCATTAGTGTAATGTTGGCACAAAATATCTTTAAGCTCCACTCTTGCTATCAAAACTCAAGAAAATATGAGGTCATGTCTATTGTGTTTGTTTCCTCTGAAACACACAGATCTATACACTTTGCCCTGGAACTTCTTGGCACACCCACAACCAAATAAAGAAAATCCAATAACTTCTATATATCACGTGATACAAGTATTTTAACTGTTCTCCATAACTACCATGATCTTCCTCCAGTCAATTGATGAAATTTAAACTTGATTCAGAGATGACAAGGACACATTAAAACCCACTCCCCGAATAATATACATGCGATTTCCGAAAAATTCTAATCTTTGCTATAATGCTGACAGAAAATAACTATAAAGTAGAAAATTTACCTCAATACTTTCCCCACTATCGGTTTTGGCAGGGACAGTCCACAAACCCTGTCCATTTTTCCAACGAAAAGATATTTTCTTATCATCGCCGGCACTGGCCACCACCAAATCTACACAAACGTTACAAAAACAAAGTATATTGTCAACTCATAAATAGAAAACGGAAATCTTAACTCATGCACAAATATAAAAATGGAATTGTCCTTACTGTTGCAGTTCCACTTGACTGAGTTGACTCGGCAACTCGGAGATGGCGCGTAGGAAAGAACACAGGGGTCCCGTGGCTCCGTTGAGATGTCGAAGAGCTTGACAGTGTCGCCGCCGCTCGCCGCCAACAGCAGCTTCATCGATTCCGTGGAATTCATATTTGCAATTCCACAAAGTGTATATGCATACGTCTCGGATTCAGTTTTCTACAGATGAATAATTGTATTACGAAAAAAGGAAATGGAAAAAAATATATGAAATTGAAAACAAGTTTGGTGGCTGATGATGATGATGATTTTTACTGCGTGTGAGAGAGTGAAGGGTAGGATTGGAAGGTAAAATTTCAAAAAGAATTGGGAAAAAATTAGGGCGCCCTTTACGAATTAGTGCAGTCAAATCCAAAAGATATTAAAAAGGTTTAGAACAATCTGAACAGAGTCATGATCCACAGTAACAAAATTATATTTTTCATGCAAATAAAAAAAATTTAAAAATATGAATCATCTCAATTTAAAAATTAAACAATCAAAATATAAAAAAAATTATAATATTTCAATACTCTTTGATGAAAAAATGTATTTAATATTCAGTATTATCAATATATAAAAATCGATAGGACGTTACTAACAAGCAACCAATATATAATGAGAATAATTTATTAAAATTATGCTAACAATAACAGGTAAAAGGGAAAGGAAAGTTTTGATTTTGGGTTGTTTGACCCCATTTTTTTCAAAATTAAATTTCAACCATAAATTTTCTAAAAATTATTATTTAAAAATGCATTTTTCTCAAACAAGGGCTTAACCCCGTTTGGCCCCAATTATTTCAAATTTTAATGGTTAGAATAGTTTTTTTTTTTAATGTAATTGAAAAAGAAAAAAAATTGGGATTATCATTTAAGATTTTTAGTAAGTCTTGATTTAACATTGCAGGCTTTTAAATTTTTTTAAAAAGTCTAGATTAAAATATATACCCTGAGAATTAAAGTAAACATTCATGTTTCTATTAATAAAACGAGTTAAAAAGTACCAAACTTCATTTTTCATCGCATACTTCACCTTTTAATGGGCATAGATATACACCAATTACTTTTTTGGGAAATGCCAGCATGGTGTACAATCATCACTTCCCTACTTTTTTTTTTTTTTTAACGTTTCATAAATTGATTTGTAGTCTAAAATTAATCAATCATATCAAAAATCAAGGAGGAAGATATTCTTAGGATCTATTTGAGCCCTACTTTTAGGAGAATAAATTTTGTAATAGTGATATTTTTGAAAAATTTGTAATTGAAATTAAAAAAAAGAGGGGAAAAGATTGAATTTACGGATTACAAATTATTTTATGGAGAAAATGGGTAGTTAAAAAAGAATTTCAGGAAAAAAAATTTAGATAATGGAGCTATAAATTTCCTAGTTCTCGTTTGATCCAGTTCAATCCCATTAGAGAAAGGTGCCGACTCAATTTTAGGAATGTGACAACTTAAATGAAATAATATGATAAAAAGTTCACTCTTTCATGAAAATTAAACTGTCATATCACATTATTCCAACTAAGTTGATGATAAATAGAAAACAAAAGACATAAAACGAACCATCAACCTCAAATTTAACACAAGCTTCTTCTAGTTAGAAAAACTCTTAAAACTTGCACACAATTTAGTCCTCGATAAACTGGCAAAAATGCCCATATTCCACGGCAAGAATGGCCATGTTTGGTGGTTTGAGTTTCCCAACAAATTATATGTACATGGAACACCCTTTCTATAAAGGGATAGAACGATGTTTACAGCTTATAATTCATGCTACTACCAGTAATAAAAGGTCATTCTTAATCATACTACATTCTTTAAGATAAGGTAAAGGCGAGCCGAGTGCTTATTTCTTGGTCAGAGGGATTTTCCTGGGCGGGGCTGCAACTGTGATTCATTCTAAATAGAAAATGGTGCCTGCACCCAGAAAAACAAAAAGTTTTAATGAAATATGGGGTAAGTGCATAAATCCTGTGATGGCCAAAAACTCAATTCGCAAGCTACAGACACCAAAAAATTTCATATTTATATAGATGATATGTCAAAAATAAGCATTTACAGATGGCAAGAGCTAAACTCTATTTCAACACCCAGAACTGGAGAACGCAAAATCCAAAATCATATGCTGTAAGTAGTGTTTTTAATGGTGAGAGCTAAGGCCTTTTACATTTTGAACGAGAAAAGCTTCAAGGCGGGCGTGCCTATGTAGTTCATGGATTATTTTTATACTTCCAGTTGATGCAATATGTACGAGGTAAATGAAAAATAAAAGAAATGGAAGAAATTTAGCAAAAATCATAATATCACTATCGACACCACTGAGCATCGAAAAATAAAAAGAATCAGTCAACTCAAATAGTACTTAGCACAAGATACAGAGAAGAAAAGCCCAAAACATGAGATCCAACATTTATACAAAATGTGAAACGAATCCCAAATTTGGGAGGTAAGACGACAAAAATAAAAGGAAACAACAAAAAAATTCAAGTTTTAATTCATCAATAAAAAAGATGCCCTTTCTGGGGAAATAATTAATTAGTTTCTTTTAGAGGGGTTAAGTTACCCATCTTTACATGTGTATGCCTCAATAATGTCACGTTAAAAGGCACTTTAAGGCAAGCCTAATTACTGCAAGGTGCATATGCCTACAGAGACGTGCTTTTCTATGTTGTCTTGGGGTGCTTCTCCTCTGGCTTGCCACGAGGTGAGCCTGGGACGAGTCTCAGCAATCAGTTTTAAAATATTGAACAGGCGCAAGTCCAAGGATGCAACGAAGCACTAACACTTTTACAGACATTTTGGCAGCACTATAATTACAAACAAGAAATTTACTGCCTAGCTCAAAAACAATTATTTTTGTTTGTCATCAAACGCCGGTGAACATTTTTATATGTTCAGTCACGTCTAAATATTCGATAATTCAGCCTCAAATGCATGTATATCTGATTTAATAAACATCAACACAATTGAGATATATCAATCTTTTCAAACAGAGATATAGTTCATTTCTACCTAGGCTTTCTACAACCTGTATGGAAATTCTTAGACATCTCAACTTAAAATGATAATTCCCCCACTGCTATATCTATTTATGCATGCATATATATTCTTTAAAAAATGTTGTACAAAGATTGCCAATCCATACACCATCTGCCAAAGATTTAGGTTTTGATAGCTCTTGCATGTCTTAGTATCCAAATGCCTGTTTAGTTCCAAGTTGCCCATTGGGTCATTATGATACCAAACTTGTAGTCTTACAAATACAGTTTACACAAACATGTATCATTAAAAGGTGCTACTACTTTAAGTAAGATAAGTGAGTTAACTAATGTTACAGATTGTAATTAGTAGTTGGTTAATTAGCTTAATTCTAGGTTTTCCTAATTTGTATACTTTCCTAAGATAGTTTCCTAGGTT